ATGGTTCCCATTTCCTCACACCAATCGCCAGTCTAATGTTATTGTTTTATGAGACTGGCTTACTATCCCTGTGTATCGCTTGACTGTGTAGTTAGACTGTAAGAGCATTAACGGCAGGAACGGTGGCCCTATCTCATACTGCTTTGTATTTTCCAATATTACTAGCCTTGTGTGGCACACATTGGAGTAGTTTATCTTCTCACCATTTCCTACATCATAGTTCTTTTATGTAAATATGTGTTTATAAATATATGAGGCCTATTTCCTTCTGACTGCACCAATATTTCACATCGTATAAAAATTTGAGCCCAAGTGTAGTTATGTTCCTCTGCCATTATACAATTAAGACTTCCATTGTCCTAATTGCTGTCCCCAAGCCTGTAAGCCAAAGGATCGAGAGCATTTTCTGGAGACAGAGTGGTAACAAGGATTAGCCGAACTGTCAGGTTATCCAAGCCTCACATTTTGGAGCCGGGTAGTCAGACGCAAGGGTCCCTCTGCCAGTTTCTCATCTGCACAGTGAAGGGGGTTGGACTGGAACAAATCCTTTCTTTAATATTTATTCCAATCCCTGCTCAGGTGCTGGGTGTGAGTTCAGGGAAAAGTTTCCTTATTTCTCCACAGGCCATTTTAAAGTCAGGTCCAGACCACTTTCCAGGGCACCTTTTGTAGTTGAGGATAAACTAGACAGTCCTGCCTGACAGAAATTCAGTGTGAGCCACATGTAAGTTTTCTAGTAGCAACATATAAAAATAAACCTGTAAAATTAATCTTGATAATATATTTATCCCAATATAACCAGGATGTTACTGTTTCAACATGTAGCCAATATATAAAATACAGAACAAAATTTATTGAGGAGATGTTTTGTACATATATATGGAACTAAGCCTTCAAGATTTGGTGTGCTTCTTATACTTGTAACACACCCCAGTAAGGACTAGCTTCTCATCCAGACCTCGGTAGTCGTGTGGATTAGCACAAGCCATACTGGGCACACAGGTCTAGAATATACATGAGTTCACTGATGGCTCAAACATTTTGAGCTGAAAGAATTATGTCTGAAGAATAAGTTCTAGGAGGAAATCAAATATTAGTCAAAGGGAACTACTCTTCCGTTACTAACCGTGACTACTTCATGCTTGACATGAATTATGAATTACATAAGACTATGGTGAATGCTTAAGTTAAAAAAATTATTACAGGAAAAGACACATGGCCAGCTGGATGTGGTGGTGCATGCCTATAATCTCAGCACTTGGGAGGCTGAGGCAGGAGGATCTCTTCGAGTTCAAGGCCTGTCTGGGTTACAGAGTGAGCTGAACTGCATAGTGATATTGTCTCAAAAAGACAAAAAAAAAAAAGATATATTGCCATTAATGATCTACTTCTCCTTGTGTCTAACACACTTATCCCATCATTCTTGTCACTTTCTGAAGCAGTTCTGGGTGTCCTCTTTTGTGAATACTTTTAGTTGTGATGTGATGGTTACCTTCATGTCCTGAAGTGATTGAAAGCATTCAGCTTTCATGGTCATTTTGACTGTGCGGAAGAGCCGGAAGTTGGACATTGCCAGGCCTGGTGAGTAAGGCAGATGAGCACACATTGTTGATTTTAACAGCCTGTCTTTCTGAGGGATGACACTTGGTAGCAGCATTCATTGCATTTTTTTTTTTTTTTTTTAGAGACAGGGTCTCACTATGCAGTTCAGGCTTGCCTTCAACTCACTGTGTAGCCCAGGCTGGCCTTGAACTCACAGAGATCCTCCTGCCTCAGCTTCTCAAGTGCTGGGATTATAGGTGTGCAGCACCATGCCTGGCACTCATCTCGCTTTTGATTACACCCTGTAAAGCCATGGAGAAGACTTCCAGATAAATATGTTTGAAATGAGGGGAAACATCTTAAGGAGGATTAAGGGCAATATGTGTTTTACTGTAATACATTTAAAAAATTTCAATCATGTCATATTCCCTTTATTTCTCCAAACAATCTTATAAGTAAGATACCCCTTCCTTTAAGATGAGAAAGCTGAGGCCCAAAAACCAAGTCACTTGCTATTATGATTTACAAACTCACTTTCCCAGGCAGTTCTCTCCAGTGCTGTGGGGAGGGCAGCCAGCATTTACCCTCCGCTTCCCTCAGGCTCGGGGTAAAAGTTTGCTTGACTCCTGCTGGTGACTGCCCTGTGCATACCCTGTGGGGAGAGGGCTGCACAGCCTCTGGTCGGTTTCCTAGTGTCTCAGCCTCAGGGTCTCCCATAGCTACTCTGATCCTCAGTGTAGTAAAAACACTTGGCCTTCTCTTGGTAATTTTTATAAAAACCATCCCCCTCCTTCCCCAGCACAGGTACTGGCCTGTGGTACCTGCTATGGGGAGATGAAAAAGCCTGACCTGCACCGGGCTCATTAGAGGTCCGGTTAGAGCAAAGAGAGTTGTTAGACAGAAACAACTGGAAGGTTCAGTCTTGGACCAATGCACAATATAAAGTCAGACAAATGAACATCTCTCTTGCTTCTTCTTTCCCTTTCATGTGTCGTTTCTGATGCTCCATCAGTTGTCTGCTGTTTCCTCCTTTCCCTCTTTGCCTCCCCTCCCTTCTCAGCCTCCATCATCCTGTCTTCTTTTCGTCTTTTCTAAAAGGATATCTTCAACTTCCTGCCTTGCCCAAGGACTTGTTGGAGAATGAATGGAAAGCTACACCTCCCTTGAAGCCACAGAGGATCCCACTCTGAAGTCTAGATGTTGGAGCTGGAAGAGGACTTCAAAGTTGCAATGCAGCTCTTCATCCTACTGACACAAGAGGGGAAATCATGTGCCTGGAGTTACTTGGGGTGATGTGGGTGGCCCAGGGGAGTGGCAGGAGGAGGTGATGAGTGAACAGTTGAACTGCTTCAGTCTTGTGACATTAAACATCAATTATTTATCTAGCCCTGTTGCCCACTCTCAGGAAGCTGTAACTTTTCCTACTGTGTTGGGGTCTCCATGTCTTCTATTAAAGTATTCAGCCGGGAGTGGTGGTGCATGCCTGTAATCCCAGCACTCTGGAGACTGAGGCAGGAGGATCACTGGGAGTTCGAGACCAGCCTGGGCTACAAAGTGAGCTCAAGGCCAGCCTGAACTGCACAGTGAGGCCCTGTCTCAAAAAGACAAAAGAAGTGTACCCAGATATGCTTTACCATCCAATAGTTGATATCCAGCTCTGAGCCGTGGGCATGGGCCTGCCATTTCTCTCTTGGAATGATTGCTGGCTCACACTCTTTAAGCTGCACAGCATGCTGAGGGGCTGTCTCTGACCTGGAGTGGGACACTGACCCTGCTGTAGGTGGGAACATGTCATAGTATAGCTCATCTACTTTTCCTTGACAGATGCCATTCTTCAATGTTCTTGATTTCTCTTCCCTCTTCTTTCTTCCCTCCTGTTAAATTTCTTTTCTTTTCTTTCTCTGTTTCATCTCTTTCCTCACTCCTTCTACTGTATGGGCCATGGTACTAAAGTTAGCTTTAACTTCCCAAATATTACCTGTCATACATGGGTTTCCAAGGTTTCTTGTGTCCTTTTCCCCCTTGCTGAAAAGATGCTCCATTCTATTTTTATATATGTAGGCCTAGCCAGGTGGGTGAAGGGGGAGACCCCAGGTAAGTAGCATGTTTTCTGACCCTCGTTTTGTGCAGCACCTGGAGCTCTGGATGGCAGAATGAATAAGGCTCAAGAGAGCAGAGTCAGGCAGGTGCAGATTTGATCGTGAGTCCCATTTATCAGTTATCTGGCCTTGACCTATGACTCATTCCTTCCAATATTTCTTACCTGTAAACTGGGTATAAGACATTTTTATATGAACTTAATTTGAAGTCGTATGAGGCACAGACAGACATGAACAGAAAAGGGCACAGACACTAATTGTACAACTGGATATGTTTTCATAAAGTGACATGCCCCACATGAGGAGCAGAGTGTTATCACAACACCAGATTCCCTTTCTGGTCTCCTCCCAGGACTATCTCACCCCATTTCCAGCCATACCTCACCCTCTCCCCAATTTCTGATTTTACTTTTACCTACTTTTTAACTTTATATGAATGAAAATATAAGAATGTTTCTTTTGTGTGTTTTTTTTTTGCTTATGTTTATGAGAGTCACTTCTGCTATTAGAGACAGTTGTAGTTTGTAATTCTCCTTGCTGAGAAGTAGCTCCATTGTAAATATACCACAATTTAATGACCTCTTCTGTTGTTAGTAGACATTTTGGTGTTTCCAATTGTTGGCTTTGTAAGTGAGGGCTCTTGAACATTGTTGCATACTTATTTATTTATTTATTTTTTAGTACACAGGGACACCCTAGTCATTTAGGAGTGGGATTTCTGCATATAAAAATATATACATCTTTTAGACTTACGGAAACTGCCCAATATTTTAGTGACTATATTTAACTTTACAGTTTAGTAAGAATGAAAGTAGATTGTAGAAGATGCTCAGTATCATCATTGGCAGATAAGAATCCTCCCTTAATACATGTTTAAAAATATAAGGAAGGCACAGTATTCCATTTGGTCCAGTACCGTGATGGACTTAGGTGTTTCCCTATTGCATGTTCATTTAGATTGTTTTCATTGTTTTGTTATCCCATATCATGTTGCAGTGGATGACTCTCCTAGCTGATTTCTTCTTTTGAAAAATTTGCTGTGTTAAGTTCTCAGGGTAGGCTGAATTGGATCAAAGGACATGTTACTGTGACTGTTAAGGACTATGAAGTATCCCAAGGAAAGGAAAACAAGGAAGGAAGCCTCTCCTACTAGGGCCCAGGGGAGGGAGGTACTAACAGGTGGCAAGTGGTCTCAGGGGGGAGTGTCTGGTAAAGGGCAGCAGGGTAGGGTAGAATGGAGAATGATTTTTATAAATGGTGGTACATTTTAGGACAACTAAATATCTAATCCCTTAGATAAGAAACGAGGTAATAGTGAAAACAATGTATAACCTTGAAAAATGAATCAGGAGAGGGTTCTCAGGTGCAAAGATTACTTTATTCATGGTGTCCCCCAAGTATCAGCTTGATTAAAGCCAAGGAGGGGGAGGAAGGGAGGTGGAGAGGGGCTGGAGGACTGTGCCCGGGTAGGTCTCTCTGGGAAAGGGCTGGGGATGGGAGGAGGGAGATCAAGGCTGGGTGGGCCCGAGGGGCAGGCAGTGGTGCCTGTTGGGCTCTGGCTCTAACATTCCTTCCTTCTGAACTTCTTGACTTCAGGTGAAGACAGGGTAACATGGGAGATCTCGCAGGTGTAGACTTCATGACTTTCATACTCTGTTCTGGACAGCACTAGGGTGCTGCTGAAGCTGTAGGTGAAGTCCACGCTGTCCTGCTTCGTGTAACTGTTCAGGATGTTGTCTGAGATTTCAGTGCCATCCCCCTTCCACTTGACGCTGATATCTCTTGGATAGAAGTTGTTAGCGTAGCACACAAGTGAGGCACTTCCGGATGCCAACTCCTCTTTTGATGGTGGGAAGAGGGAGACAGTTGGCTTTTGATTACTCCCTGAGGAAGGAAGCACAGAGGGTGGGTTTAACTCACCACGCAGGTATCCTCTTGGGTGCATCGTGGGTGGGGATGTAGGAGACAGACACACAAAACAGCACACTTACGCACAGTGGTACAGCAAGGCGAGGAAGCACGTGGAGCTCTTCCCTAGTTCCCTCTCCCCTTAAAAGTTTAAATTGTGCTTGAACTCTTTGTAGCCCTGCTGAGGCCTTGTGGCCTGCTTTTCTGACCTTGACTTTCTTTGCTTCAATTGTTTCCCGCCACCTGCAGTGGCTCAGCACTTCAGGCAAAGCAAACAGGTTCTCTAGGGCTCTGACATCAGCACAGGTCTGGACTCTATAGAGGAGAAGCTAAGGCAGCAGAATTGGGCTGTGCTTCCTGTTGCTCCTCTGTGACTGTGCTGTGATGTCAGGCTCCCCTGGGCTTCTCCTGGCATGGCGGGGACAGCTCCAATGTCTACTACTGTGCCTGTTTGGGCGTCAGCCCCTTACTCTCTGCAATTAGGCCAGCAACTGTCCTGCTGCTCATAAAGCCCTGAAAGTGAGCCTTAACCCCAGCCTGATCATCTGTGACCACGGGGGGGAATTTTTAGCCAGGCCAGAAGGGTCAACTGTGACCATGGCCATCTGCCTGGGAGGAACTGGCTAGCTTCACTTCTGACCTTGAGCAGCTGCCAGGTGGCCTCCTGGAAATCCCCCTATTTGGGGAAGCAATTCCTCTGGTGGGAAAACAGTGATCAAAATAAAAAATCAAGAATCTTTTGTTGGGAGAAGTTAATAGTACATGAGCGGGTTTTAAAAAATAAAGCTAACATAGAAGTTCAACATAAGATACAGCATTTTTATCTTTGATATTTTTCTTCTCTTTAAATCTTTATCACCAATTTTTCCTAAATAATTGAATAAAGTAAACTTGTACCAAATTATGTGATCTCTGGCAAAAAACATTCTATGAAGTTCTTCCTATGTGGGTGAATTCTTGACAGCTTTAAATTTTCCATCTGGCTCTAAAATATTTAATCATTATGTATTTAACATGGAAATTATTTCAAAACATCTTATTAGCTTTTAATGGAGTTTAAGATTCTTTAAAAGCATCTTTAAAAGACCCTGAAATAGTTTTAAAGTAATTTAAAACAGTTAAACAGTTCTAAAAATGGTTTCAAAAGAATTTTACAAGGCTCCTAAAATAGTTCTGGCAAGTTATTTAGACCAAAATAATGCTTCTCAAGTATCAGTTCTTAAACCAAGAGAGAGTAAGAAATATCAGCTCCAACAGAAACAAATTATGAAACTACTTAAGATATTATGAGATTAAATAGCAAGATTACAATTTTTCTCACAGAATTACAGTATTGAAAATTATGTTTATGTTGTTTTTATGAATCACATTTATATATGATTAGATATTCTGTAGAACTAAATATAATCCTAAACAAACAGCTAAATTTTAAAAGATTAAAACCATGTTAGCAATTTTTTATCAGTTACTCTGCCTTAGTGCCGTTTGATGTGAACTCACTAAGTGGATTGACCAAGACCTGAGTGGTTACATTGCTGGCATTAAATTCAATTTTTGCTCTTGTGAATTTTATCTTAAAGAGTTATAGACAGTACATTTCTTCCTTTTATTATGGAGCTTTTATCATTTAGGTGAACTGGATAAAAAGATGTTATGTCACAAAATAGTTTTTTATTCTTTTTTGGTTCTTACTGGAAATTTTTACTAAAGGCTACAGTAAGAAATGTGAATTTTATTTCTGAAATCTTTAATACATAAGTTTCCTCCTGGTTTTTGCCCTGTTAGCATAGGACCTGCCACGCGTCTATTCTCTCTCTGTTAGCGGCATTGCTCGTATCACTGTGCATTCGGAAGGCAGGCCGCTGCACGGTTACGCGGGCTAAGGCGGGTTTGCTGTGGCCTTTAGCGGCCAGGCGAACTGTCACCGGGGTGCAGTGACACTGCCAGTGGGGTCACTGAGTCACGACAAAGACGGCCATGAGGTTTACGGACCATACTAGCGGTGTCGCGGCCTCCTTAGCGGTATAAAAATACAGATAACTAATAACTGAGGGAAATCAAAAAACATATCCTTTAACATTTTTTCCTACAAGCCCCTGGGCAGTCTAAAAATGTAATTATGTACTTTCTTTGAAACTGAAGAGATCATTTCAATTTTACCTTAATGTAGAAATTAGATTTTTAAAAAGGAGCGCTCTGTCAAGATCTTATTCTTATAGCATTTCTCATTTTGACCATTTATCAGTTATTTTAGACTCTAAAAATGACACGGCTGCTGATTCTTCAGTAAGCCATCTCTTTGACATTGTAAACAGCTATACTTTTCTAACTTTTTACTGACTTTTTTATAGCATGCTGTTACTTTTAAAAATTGTCTTCTAAAATGATCAGGCAAGAGAGAAAACAGACCAAGGAATACAACTCTCAACTTTTCTATATCATTTATATTACACAAAAACAACCCACTAACTGGTAAATCTCAATAAAAATGTATTTACTTTTGTTCTTTGCAGCTCCCAGTCTCCTTTTCCTCTATACCATGTAGATATTTTTCCTTTAATTATTCAGTTTAGCCCAATTTAATCATTTTGTCTCCAAATTCATTTTTGGAGCTGAGTCTAACTTTTGGCCCTGATAATAAACCTGAAGTGCCTTTTTTCACCCATCCATAAAACTCTTATTTAAGCCTCTAAAGGTCAGTTTGAGTGGCAATTTAGACCTAAATTTCAGAATGCAACCCAGAAAAGTTACTTACCTTTAATCACCAGCCTTGTCCCGCTGTGGAGGGTGAGCCCCAATATTAACCTACTGACTTTCCCCTCAAAACCCTTTTTTGTTGCTAATCTCACAATATTGACAAACAGAGGAAATCTGGCGATTTAAGTGCCCCTTCTACTGACTGAGTTTTTGCTCTTCTTTGAGATGAGCAGATTCTTCAGCCCCTCTGCCTCATCTGATTTTTGGGAAAAAACCCTATTCTCTCCAGAATTGACCCCAAGTTATACCCCACACATAAAAACGCCCAACTCTTATAACTCTATGAGAAAAAGGTTTTAAAAAATGCACTTACGTTTGATCTCCAGCTTGGTCCCGGCACCGAACGTGAGTCACAGTGATGACTCTAACATTTGGCCCTCAACAAAAACCTTTCTTTGTGGCTGATCAGACCGGGCAGGCCAATTCAGACAAAAACAGCCATTCTCCCCACACACCTTATTCCCCTCGCAAACCTAACACTCTATTTGTTCAGATTTTAAGTTGGCTATTTTCTGATATTTTTCTACTTATTGTTGGGTCACCAGAAATGGTTCATTTAACCAAAATAATCACTAACTCACACAGATGGTACAGCAGGATTAAAGCTTCACAAATAACTGAGCAAAAACGCACTTACGTTTGATTTCCAATGTGGTCCCTCCGCCGAAAGTGAATCACAGTGATTCCCTTTAACTTCTCCCTTCACAAAAACCTCCCTAGGAAGCAATACGCCTCCTTCTCCAACTAAACTATTTTGCTTTAGAAATCACAAGAACTGGCCACAGGCAGCCTCCTGTGGAGCAATTGTCCCTCCCCAGTACCTAGTCTGGGAGTGAAATTTGTAACATCCCTCACATCAAACTAATGAAGAAACACAAAGAAACAATGAAAAGCAAATCAATCAGCAACAGTAAAGCACCAGCTGAAAAAGACACTTACCTTTGATTTCTATCTTGGTCCCTGCGCCGAAAGTGTACACACAGTGGTTCCTCTTACCTTCCTCCTATACAAAAACTGAGTTTCCCTTCCTACCGTTGATCAAGGCTGTGCCTGCAGCCTGCTAGTATGCTCCCAGTAAATCTTTGAAACCATTACTTAGAAAAATTATTTGCCCTAAACGACTGAATCTTGCTGTTTATAGAAAATATACAATCGATTCTCAAAGTTTGCTTACAGACTTCATCTTTTTCAGTGCCCTTGCGGATGTCAGAACCTGGTTCCAGAGTCAGTTACAAAATCACTTCATAGATACAGAACCCATGAGATACAATGAAGGAAGAAGAGTTTGGAGTCTACTTACGTTTGATTTCCAGCTTGGTCCCAGCGCCGAACGTCCACCACAGTGATAGCTCTTCACTGTCTCACTGTACAAAATCCCTTCTCACTGAAGAGGAACAGATGCTTGGCTCAGCTGCAAAAGCTTAACCCCTTTTTCAAGCAGGTGTGGAAGGCTCTGAGCTTCTCCGACAGAGAATGTTTCTTTGGTGAGATCTAAAATTCTATAAAATGATAGTTGTTATGGATGATGGTTCCTTTCTTCAGCAACCTACCACATCTACACTGCTTGCTACGTAGTCATTCAGGTTGAATTTAAATTATAAAGGCAACTAGGAAAATTTAAAAATATAGTCAGCCGGTGAAATAGCTCAGTGGCACAAGCGCCTGGCAAGTTCAAGATCCTGAGTTTGATTCCCGGTACTAAAATAAATAAATAAATAAAGTAAAAAAAAAACCAAACCAATTTCTTTATACTTTCTCCTAGGGTGAGGGTACAGAACTTTCAAAAATGACAAACTTTATTCAGTCATGATTATGAAATTCATTAGCTTTCCTCAGATAATAAGAATGTCTTCCTAGTTGAACTTCTCCTGTGTTATGAATTGTTTCAGAAAAGGCAGATTAGGTACGTATCAAATCACTGCTCATATCTTTGCAATGTATTTTGAAATTGAGTCATGGATTAGATGTGGAGAAAGAATGAAGAATGACAGAGGATAAAAGTAGACTTTACTTGGAGGATTGATCTATTGTCACAGGACAAGTAGTAGCGCTCGGCTCTCACTGGACTGAACCGTGTACGCAGTGTCTTTGGAGCTACCATGGAACTGTGGTGTTTCACGGCCTCCCTATAGTAACTTCATCAGAAGTACTGAAATCTTTTGCTGTGAGTCCAGCTTCACTGATTACATCTCGTTTTCTTAACCTTCAATTTCCATCCCTTTCCACACACTGTTCCCACCAGTGTAAACTCTTTACACTTGTACCCTGGCCTTCAGCTTTAGCAAAACATTTTCTTTGCATGTAAACATTTTTGCTCACCTGGGTTAAATTGTAATCAGCTAATTGCCTTTCAAGGTACAACTCAAGAAAGGCTTTCTCTGAGGTTACCCCCAAGCAGGTGAGTTGACTTTGTAGAGTACACAGCCAAGGTCAGCAGGTCTAGAGCACTCAGTTGTTCCTATCTGTTAGAGTCTCCCTTCCCTCCAGGACTGTAAGGTGTTTGCTGTGTTATTTGCCTTTTATGTGAGAGGGGAAGTCTAGCATCTTCACTTGGCAAATGTGCAACAGATATTTGCAGAACAAATGAAAAAATGAAGGAGATAGAGAGGATGAGGTAGAGAGAAGAGAGAAACTGGCAAGTGGAAATTAAATGTGCAAAATAGCTGAGGAAGAACATAGCCAGCGTGGATCCTAAAGAGGATAGAAACTGATTTTCTCTGCAGAAATACAAGCAATATCAATCATAAAGGTTGACATTTATTGAGCTCTTACAAAGAGCCAGACATTCTGCATGGATCACTACATTTAATTACCACCAAGACTCTATGGATTAGAAATTAACAGTGTCCTCTATTTTTTAGTGACGGAACTTGTGTGCAAAGAGTTAAAGTAATAGGCTTATGACAGTAAATGGCAGAGCTGGGATCTGCACTTAAAGCTTGTGTACTTAGCTGAATTTCGGATTAGATACTGGGAGTGACATCACCCAATGGAAGCAAAGACATGGCGGAGAACACTGGGTTGGGGAAACTCTCCTTAGAGGATCCTAGGGTTGGAGAGGAGTGGATAAGTGTGCCCAGATCTGTGTATAAGTGTGTGCATCAAAGCACTGCTTAAACAGTGAAAAATGTGAAAATACCAAATCTTTAGCAATAGGAGTTTGGGTATGCAATATTTTGGTAAAGCTTTATAATGGTGCACAGTGCAGCCAATAAGAATCACATTTCTGCATAGTCACAGGAAAGAGTGAAAATGTCACTGAGCGGTATATTAAGTGATCATGATGTCATGATCCCATTGAGACGGATTGTATGTGTGTATAAATACAGATTCTTAAAGCCTACACAAACTGTGCTTAGCAATTATTTCCTGGGATTGCAGGAGAAAAGTAACAACACTTTCTCTTTCTATTGTCTGTATATTGTAGATTTTGTGATTTTAAAAAAGTCAGATAGATACATTCATTTTAGGGTCTTCAGAAAAAAATGTGTGCTATTGAAAAATGGTTAATTCTGACACTGGTAACATTCACAGTGTTTCGCTGCAATGCATAAATACAACTTTAAAACGATACATACACATGCATGAGATTTTTCTTTATGACAATCAAAGCTTTTTCTAAAACCTTCAAACAGAATGTAGCAAAGGTAAGATCTCTGGATCTATGTGGGAGATAACCTTTTATACCTGGGGCTGGAGTATGGGCATGGGAAAGGTAAGCTGGCTGAGTGAGAGATATATTTTGTAAGTGAGTAAACTGCAGGTCTGAGATGAACAGTGCGAGCAGATGACTATTGTAAAGCAGTCTTAGTCTACATACAGTAATTGCTGATAGGAATAGGGTTGTGATGTTTGTTGTAACATAAAATAGATCACTGAGAAGTGCTTGAAATCCTCAATATGTTCCAGCCCTAGGAAAGCAAAGGATGTCTCAGAAGCATTTGTGAAGCTCTGCTAGGTCCTGTCATTCCAGAGTGTCCACGGTGGACATGGATAAGATTGGTTTGTCATGTTATTATTAGTTTAAATTGTCAATAAGACAGTCTGGGGGGGCTGGTTCTTAGAGTCAATTCATAAGAATGATAGAATAAGATCATGGGGAGTATCTCAACAAATTCATCACTAGAACTGCTTCTCATTTGACCCCCCTAATTAGGTTCTCAGAATAAATTCTACACTGCTTGTGGAGGGGAGAGAGAGCTCAAGTGCACATCTATAAATCATACTGAGCGCTGCTGTTAAGTTATCTTAGCAGTGTTCCTCAGGTTTAATATTTCCAGAAACACCATATTTGATTTTTATTTGCCACAATTAGCCAACCTGGTGTGTGTGTGTGTGTGTGTGTGTGTGTGTGTGTGTGTGTGTTTACTCTCACATCATAACATACAGGGAATCATTCATTCTAGAAACACAACAGCAAATTCTGTTTTCTGTGTGGATTGAGGGATGGTGTCTTCCCTACCTGGCTTGGAAACGTTTCTGCCCGGTATCCATCTTGAAATCTGTAGTTTAATACTCTGTTTTCAGCATGCCAGTCACAGTACAGTCCAAGGTTGGTGACTCTGCTTCAGCTGGGCTTCTTGGATTATGACACTGTCATTCCTACTGTATCTCATCTGATGTCACCTGAGAACAGGAGAAAACTATAATCCACATCCAGCGATGCTGAGAACCAGAGCAGCTGTCATTCTTCCAGATGAAGTGTCATGAAGGGGTATCTGTCCTGGGTCCCCAAGGAGGGAGGCTGGCCCCATTGCTCAGGAAGGGATACCCAAAAGAGGTCACTTGAGAAAGCTGGCTCTTTGCTTCTTCATGATGGTTTCTACTTGTCCCTGAAGAAGGGCGAGCGGAAGAAGCAAAGTCTTTTCACAGCCATGTGCAAATGCATGTGCCATAAACATGACCTGAGACTCTGGTCCCACTCTGGAAGAGCAGGTGCTCTGCATGAAAGCTGCAGGTATTTTTCCACTTCCTTGAAAGAAACAGACAACAGCCGCTGGGTCAGTGTTGACTACACTTGAAGATTTACATATTGGGTGCTGTGGTTTCTGGCTCATTAGTGACCAGTCAAGCCCTTCAAGCTCTGCTCTTGGGCTCCTGCCCTCCTCTTTTCCTCTGACATATCGTGTGTGGTTGTTTTTGCCATCCTTGTTCTATCCCCAGATTTATGTGAGCTAGCATATATATCTTGGATAGACTCCTTGGATAGAGTATTATATGGAAGTGTGGTGGGTGAGGTAGGCTGGCTTGGAGGGGCTGTGTGCGAGCCTACAAAATCATCATATTGGCAATTTGCCTTTTTATTTTATTTTATTTTATTTTTTATTTTTTTGGTTTTTCTCCGGTACCGGGAACCAAACTCACGACCTTGCGCTTGCCAGGCAGGCGCTTTGCCGCTGAGCTAAATCCCCAGCCCCCTCAATTTGCCTTTTTAATTATTACTCACATTGCTATGGGTTTTTCCTTTTTTTGGTAAGACTAGCTAAGGATTGGTCTATTTTGTTTATTCTTTTGAATAAACAGCTCTTTGATTCACTGATTACTGGTATTGTTTCTTTAGTCTCACTTTCATTAATGTCTGCTCTGACATTGTTAATATCCTTCCTTGTATAGTACTAGTTTTGGACTTGGATTGTTCTTGTTCACCTGGAGGTGCATATTAAGTTATTTACTTCAATTTTCTCTCTCTGTTTTTTTTTTTTTGTTTTTTTTTTTAATGTGGGCATTCACAGCTATCAACTTCCCTCTTAAGACTGCTTTCACTGTGTCTCATAGGTTCTGGTATGTTGTATTGGTAATATCGTTTGATTCTAGGAACTGTCAAATTTCTTTCTTGATTTCTTTTCTGACTCATTCAAGAGTATATTATTTAATTTCCATGTGTTTGCATAGCTCCTTTGATTTCTTTTGTAATTGACTTCTAATTTCACTGCACTATGATTTGATAATATACATGGGATAATTTTGATTCTTTTCATATTTATTTAAGCATATTGTATGGGCTAGTATGTGGTCTCTTTTAGAGAAAGTTCTATGTGCTGCTGAGCAGAATGTGTATTTTGTTGTTGGATAGAACACTCTGTAGATATCTACTGAGTTTATTTGTTCAAAGAGTGGTTCAACTCATTTTTTGTTGGCTGTTTTTGACTAGGTGATTTGTCTATTTGTAGTAGTGGGGTATGTTGGTCCCCCACTATAAGTGTATTGATGTTAATTTGAGCTTTTATGTTTAGTAGCGTTTGTTTTATGAAGTTAGGAGTACCAGTATTTAATGCATATATCTTTACAATTGTTAGAAGAACGTGATAATGACTACACTACGGAAACTGTTTATATTTACAATTGTTATCACTTCCTGTT